CAGCCAAACTGAAAGCCGGACCCCGGGCCGCCGCGCCGCCGCCGCCCGGCCTCCCCGCGAGCGCGCCACCATGGACAGCCCTGTTTTCACCTCATAAAGATGGCGGTGCGGGATCGCTGCTACCTTTAGACTAATGACTGTCCGAAACATCGCCTCCATCTGTAATATGGTGAGTGGCCGCCGCCGCCGCCGCCTCGGGGTCGCCGCGAGGCAGAGAAAGGGAAACCTGAGCTGCACACATGCCCCGCGGCGGGGGCCGGCGGGGGCCGCGCAGCCCGAAGTTCCCGGGCCCGGGCCGGGCGGGCGGCTGCGGCCCCCGGAGCGGCGGGGGAGGGGCCCGCGGCCCCCCGCCCCCTCTCGGCCCTGGACCCCGGAGCCCGTTCGGCCGCCCGGGGGCCGCGCCGCTGCTCACGGCCCGCGGGTTGCGGTGGAAGCGGCTGTGGGGGAGGGGGCCACCGACCCCGGACGTCCCGGGGGAGGGGGCTGGGGAGAAGCTGGACGTGGCGGGTACCCATCCTTTCCTTGCGGTAAATAAAGCCTTGCTGGACTCCCTGACTGCCCTCATCCCATTTTTGAGTTCAGTCCTTGGATTGTATTTAAAATTCACTTTGCAGCAGCAGTTGGTATATCTGGAGAAATTTGAAAGGCGATAAAGCTGTGAAAAAGTGCACGGTTGTGGCTCGAGAAGTGAACTTCAACCTGGGTTGGGAAAGCACGGTACTGGGGCTGCGTGCCTCAGTTTCCCCATCTGTGAAAGCGGGACAAGGTTCCATGAGAGCAGTATGTGCAGGCCCTAGGGGTGCGGCCGGCTGTGGGCTTGGCGGAGATCTCCGTGGTTATCTTGCCTGGTCCACTGTAAACCCAGGGAGGCTGGCGGTCATGGACGCAGCAAGAGACATCTCTGGGATGGGGTCTGGGTCCATGACCCGGTGGTCAGTTTAATTTGAGCTTTGCCTCCCCTTGCTTTTCAGTTTCTGCAGGGACAGCCTCCAGCCCTAGCGTCCCCAGGGTGTACCCAGCTGGCACCCTCACTTATCAGAGCGTTGGGGAGCTCAGCGTGGAGTAAGGGTGTGCTGCCCTGTGCAGGGCGGGCGGGTGTGCGCCTTGCCTCCATTCTGCAGAACCCCCTTCCCCATCCCCCATCCCCATCCCCGCCTCCAGCTGGAACATGTGCTCTTTTAATGCCAGTTTGGGGAAAAGCTGCCTTGAAGTTAGTAATGCTGGCCCCTAAAGGGAATCTAAGGAGGCTTGATCCAGAAGCCTTGGGGTAAGGTGATCTGGTTGCCCTTCCCCCATCAAATAGCCTTTTAAATCTTCTGTCCCACTTTCTGTTGCCAGATCAACACAAGGCCCTGGAGCATTAAGGAGCCCTGTGTTAGCACATGGCTGGACTTGAGACCCACTGGCCTCAGCTCTCTGCTCAGTGGGACGTGGCAGTCAGGGCCAGCAGAGCAGATGCTTGGGCTTCCCACAGTGGTAACTGCACGGGCATGGGTGCAGGACAACTTAGATATGGGGGTGCTTCCTGGAACTTTTCCTCGATTTTTTTTTCTTGAGGAGATAGGTTTTCTATTTCTGTTGAGGGCCATTAATGTAGCTTGGCACAGTGAGAAGGTGATGCCTTCTCAGATTCTCTTTGCAGTGACCAGCTCCTGGGGGGAACTGTGAAACTGGAGTGACTGGAATACTCCTGCTCGTGCCTGGTGGAGTGGCCTCAGGCCTACAGGGTAGCTAGACACAGTCCCAGCCCTTGGTTGGGTTCCTGTCCTGCTTGTGTGTGGTGACACCTCTCTGTACTGAAGCGGGCTAGAAACTTGAGAGCTAGTATGTCCCAAGAGGAAGCCAGCTGCCAGCCTCCAGCTTTTTTTTTTTTTTGCCCTTAGCACAGCTGGGGCTTCTTGAAACACCTGGGCTGAATGTCACAATCTGTTCCCTGTGAAACTCAGTCAGGCAGAAAAGATACCGGGAGGACCTGAGAGAAGCAGGCCAGTGTTGTCTGGAGAATTGACATCTCGTGTGGAGACCTAAAAGGGACCAAATTTAGGACCATCACTCAGGCGAAATGGAGAACCAGTAATTCCTAAGAAGGGAGTTTTATGTACCTATTGGACACTGTGTCTTAAGCAAGTGATACGGAGTTTGGGCTCTACTGTCAGACTTCCTGAGTCCCCATCTTGGTTCTAACCTGTGCTAACTTTGTGTTCCTAAGCAAATCGCTCTCTGCTTTAACTTTCTTATCTATAAAAAGGAGATGCTAATGGTTTGTATGCCAGCCCCATTGGGCTGTTGTATTAAATGAGTTGCTGGGGCAGAGGGCCTAGGACTTGGCAAATACTCAGTGAGTGTGAGCTGTTATCATCAACATCATCTTTCATTATTAGGTCACTTTTGGAATTTAAGGGACAATGGAGATTATGTCTTTTCAGACCTGGTGGAAGCAACCACCAGTAATATAAATAATTCCCATGTTCATTTATGCAAAGCAGGCTGAATGGCAGGATACAAAGGCTGGGAGCCCTTAACTCCGCCCCTTATAAAAGGCTGCTCAGCTCACCCCCGCCCCTGGGAGTCTCACTTCCCAGAGGAGAAGGGTTGGTGATGAGGGAACTGCTGTCTTTTCACCTGACCAGACATAACTATTCCTTGGACCCTTCTTTAGGTTCTTTTCTCGGGGATGAATTGTTTCCAGGTAGGTCTTTTAAGAGCTGCTCTTCGGGGCACGTATTGATTCTTCCCTCCTCCTAACTCCATTTTGGTCCCAGCTGGTTTGAGTAGTTGTAGTAAGAGCAAGCGAGGATTGAATTTCTTTTGAAAGCAGGTCATTCGGCATGTTTTAAAGTAGGCTGATGTGTGTCCAGAAAGGATGTTAGAAAACACTGGAGTAAGGTGAACAAACCAAGACCTCCCAGTGGAGAGAGTCAGTTTGTTTCCTCTACCAGACAAGAAAGGACCCAGCAGAGCAGGGACAAAATCTGTAGCAAATCCTTTGGGTGATTGTGTTTGATTAAGAACTAAACACTACTTATTTTCCAGTCTTCTCTTCTCTTCGTGTGTGTGAGAGAGGAAGAGAGAGAGTGAGGGTCTCATTCTGTTGCTGGGGCTAGAGTACGGTGCTGTCATGATAGCTCACAGCAGTCACAAACTCCTGGGCTCAAGCGACTGGGAATACAGGCATGCAACACCATGTTCGCTTACTTTTTATTTTGTAGGTCTCACCTGCTGCCCAGGCTGGTCTTGAGCTCCTGGCCCCAAGCCAGGTCTTGAACTCCCATTTCAGCCTCCTGAAATACTAGAATTATAGATGTGAGCCACTTTGCCTGGCCTCCCCATACTTGTGCCAGTTTTAGATATAGGGGACTTGGAAAATACCCTCATTCTTCCACTGTGCCCTACCCTGCTGCAGTCTTACTGTCCATTGGAAGCTTAATACTACCCATTTGTTTTCATTTTTCTTCTGTATGGATTTCTGCCATAGTAATTCTTGATCAACTTGCTTAGGGCACGTCAGCTTGGGCGCACAGCAGCGTCCGGTTCACAGATAGTAAAGCTTGTTTGGCTGGTATGTTGTAATTGCCAAAATGCACTAGCTGCTACCAAACATGAAGCAGCTGAGGAAATGTCCCCTGTTGACAATCCTCTGATTTTTATCCAGGCCAATGGATTTAACTTCCTATATATTTTTATGGCTCTGCAAACGGGCCATAGTTTTTTTTTAATTTTTTAAAAGTTTTCTGTTTCAAGAATTTGAGGAATTTTCTACAGAGGCAGCATTTGTTAGGAAAAACAAAATGTGACTTGTACCAGTGCAAACTGATCTAAATCTTAGGATCTTCATTTCATTTTTTAATAGTGCTATAAGCTGTGCCTCTGAGAAAATAGTGTTTATCAACTAAGTTACAAGTTTTGTTTCAGTCAGTGGCCCTCTGATGAGCACCTACTCTGGTAGCATCAGCACATGTCATATGTAGGTGCTTAATTAATGGGTGAACTGGAGCCCCCTCCCCAGGGAGCTTTGCTATTACTCATGGGCGTAACAATTGGTAAAGATGAAACAATTTGCTGGGCACGGTGGCTCACGCCTGTAATCCCAGCACAGGGGAGGCTGAGGCCAGTGGATTGCCTGAGCTCACAGGTTTGAGACCAGCCTTAGTCAGAGCAAGACCTCGTCTCTAAAAATAGCCAGACATTATGGCAAGTGCCTGTAGTCCCAGCTATTTGGGAAGCTGAGGCAAGAGAATTGCTTGAGCCCAAGAGTTTGAGGTTGCTGTGAGCTATGATGCAACAGCACTCTACCAAAGGGTGACCAGGTAGACTCTCTCAAAACAAATTTAAAAAAATTTAAAAAAGATGAAACAATTTTAATAGTATAGTATTAGCATAGAAAAAGATGGAGCAAAATCCCAGAAGCAGTTCAGTGGAAAGACTGATTAATACAATAGGACATTTCTTTAACATGTATTTGACCAAAATTTGATACACTTTCTATTTATGGCTTTTATTCCATAAGAAAATTATAGTCATTGTGAATTTGAATGGGAATCTGTACCATTATGTGTCTCTCCAGTTAAGCATGAATCTAATAGTGTGTCATTGGGCAAATTGTTTTTCTGAGGACCTTAGTTTTTCCTCATCTAATAAAACTTAGTTTTGGGGGGAGGCACAAGAAGCTTCTTAGTCATAGTTTTTAGATAAAATCTTTATAAAAATCTACCTCTCTTAATTGGTTAGTGACCACTTGGCTCCCTAACTACCTTGTTTAAAAGCATGTTGAGTTTACCAGTGTTACCATTTTAGCATCTGTACAGCAACCCTGGGGTAATAATATTTGACACCACGTTTGAGGTCTTTTAAATAAGTGAAGTTACTTGAAATGAAGGTAAAGTAACCTTAGTAAATTTTGAAACAGCCAGAGGATTTTTATAAAGATAGTTTTATCTTGATTAAGTCAACTGCTGACTTGGGGCAAGAATTTTGAGAATGGTTAAAAAAATTTTTTAAAGAATATTTCAGACTGGGCAGGATGGCTCACGCTTGTAATCCTAGCACTCAGGGAGGCCAAGGCAAGTGGATTGCTTGAGCTCATGAGTTTGAGACCAGCCTGAGCAAGAGTGAGACCCCCATTGCTACTAAAAATGAAAAACTGAGGCAAGAGGATCACTTACGCCTAAG